TTAGTGGACAGAGTTTAAACCTAAGTCATACTATTTAGCCAGCTCATTAATGCTTACCTATAAATCATAGTGCATTCTATGTATTCAGAGTTAAGGCACTTTGGACCTCTACTATTCATTTATAGTATTATATTATTCAAAACTTCAAAAATCTAAAAATGTTAGAGAGCTTTGGAAAAGACCCAACAAGGTCCTGGTCAAGTTTAACATTAATTACTAATAATTTTTAAAATATTAGTGACCTGGCTGCTAATATATAAAAGTATTCTAATAGATTACCCTCTCCCATACCTACCCTAACCTATTTGTCCAATGAACCAATCATTGTAGCAATTTAAATTATAAAAATTGACAACAATAATAATTCTGTGTTTAAAGTTTATAATCTTTATTTTATCAATAATTTATTATTCAGTAATATACAGTATTATCAAAGTATGAAAAATCTATTATAAAAATTATATTTTCATATCACGGTAATTTTTAAAATGATATTTCAAAATGAAATGAGATTGCATAAAATTATTAACTTTTGTAATATATTTTATAACTAATAAAAATTTTATTATTTTAAAATAAATCCAGAACTATTCTAATATAACAATTTTAACTGTTTAATAATAAAAATGAATGTCCTAGTACTATTGTTCGTGGTCAATTATATTATTGTCACAAATAGGGTCAGTGTTTCATTAAACATACCTCACCTGATCAATGAGGGGATCACCAAGCAACAAATAGGTATAGGGTTACAATTAATACTAATTATTTTAATATAAAAATAATATCCCATACATTTAACAATTATTTAATAATAATGTACTATACTATTAATTATCAGGGACAATGATGAGTGGACATGGATTAGCCTCGGTATTGATGACATTCCCGGTGGGCATACTATGTGATAGGATAGCCCCTAAAAATGTCATGACTATTGGAGCCATAATTTGTGGATTATTCACCTTGCTATTTTCCATGACAAACTCGGTAACGTACCTTACCTGTATATATTTTATACATGGTATGGGCTCTATATTAACGGCCAGCCCAGTTAATAAAATTATCAGGCTCATATCGGACCCAACAAAAGTAGCTACAAATATATCGATTGTAATGACTGCCATGAATGTAGCTGGGATATTAAATCCTATGGTAAATACTTGCTTGGTACAATTGTTTTCATCATGGAGAATTGCAATGGCTATTAATGGGTTGCTAGTATTAGGTACTGGTATCGCATGCTATTTTTATCTAGATAATACAAAAGCTAAATCTACAAGCAAATCAAGTGGTAATAATAAAAAGCAACAAGCTAAATCACAGTCATTAGAAACGATTAAGACCTTGCTCAAAAATCCACTATTATGGCTATGTATCATTAGTCAATTTGTCAACTTGTTCACCAGGATGACATTAAGTCTATGGTCACCTTTATATATGATCGAGGAACTACACTTAGACGCATACCTGGCCAGTAGTTTTGATAGTATACTTAACGTCGGTGCAGTATTGGGTCGATTCATTGTAGCACCGGTAGTCGATTCACTGGTTAAAAGGGAGTTAGCTAAAACTGGTACTAAATCAGATAATAGGCGCCTTATCATGGCTAGAATACCGGTGCTGATAGGTATCATGGTCTTTTATGTCATTGGTATGCATTTGTATTGTTTTCATATTACCGGTGAATCGACGCTTATGTTTATCGGATTTGTGGCTTTAATGATCGGGGTAATGCACTCGGGAGTCATGCTTATCGTATCAGTATGTATCCAGGAGGTTGACCCTGAGCATGCTGGACTGTGTCAGTCTATGGTCATGTTCACTGTTACACGTAATATTAAATTATAATTTTTTTTTGTGTAACACGGTGGATTATATGAGCTAAAATTAATATTTATTTATTTTTGACCATGCTTGTAATATAGTGGGAGGCATACTGAATGGTCTACCGGTAAGCGCATTGGCCTCTGCTTTCACGTGGAATACCGTATTCATTATGACTGAACTCCTGTGCGGTTTAGCGGTTGTCTCGCAAATAGTCTTAAGCCGAGTGCCACTGAAACCAAAGACGGAGTGAATTTGAAAAATATAATAAATATATTATATTTAAGGTTTAAAACGAGATTTTGTCGTAGTTTTCAAGCCATTAGAAAATAGCGTTTAAAAATTGTTTACAGTTTGTTTTTTTAAATATAGCTTGTTGTTATTATGTTTCAAATGTTAAAATTATAATTATTTAGTCGAAATTATAAATTTATTTAAACTTTTTTAAATAAATTATATTTATTAAACACTAGAAAAATATTTTATGGACTTAGGATACCAATTTAAATTACTCATAATTAATATAAATTTATTTTATAATTTTTGAAAATTAAATTACAGTTTATTAAAGTTAATGTTTAGTTTAAGGATAAATATACAGTATTTATATTTTTAAACAAAATTTGTAGGTTTACATTTATTTTATACTAAAATAATTGTATAAATTTTTCAAGCTAAATCTCTGTGTCCTACAAATCTATTAATAATAGTTATAAAATAATTTAAAATATTAATATTATCAAAACTGTAGATCATTTATATTATGCTAGTTTTATATTATCTAGTTAAATTACTTATATTTTTGGTTTTACCGCATCAGGAATTAAATTATTTTAATTTTTATAACTATAATATTATTAATATAATATTATTTGTATAGAAAAATAATATAAATAATCTTAATTTAAAATACTACTGAATTAAATTTCATAACTTTATATCAAACATGAGCAAATGTAAATGATTGTTAGTACCTGGTTCACCTGACTTGAAAAATAATCGACAGAAATCACTTTTATTACTTACTTTTTAAAATTTTAAATTAATTTCAACTTTTCTATATTACTTAAAACTCATATAAAATATTATTGAATTTGTGTATGAGTTTTGAAAATGTCATTATAAATGTTGTATTATTGTCATTTATGGCCATCCCCTAGTTTGCGTTATATAGATCATTTATCAGTCAAAATAGAAGTTATTATATTTTGAAAACGATTAAACTGTCAGTACATTAGACTCTGCTTTCATATTGAATACCGTATTCATTATGTGTGAACTCAATACTGTTTAGCCGTTGTTTAAAATTTTATTAAACCCAAAGCTCCACAAAACTAAGACAAAGTGAAATATTAATGTTTAAAAATAATTTAGTTATTATGGGTTTAGTAAAAAATAAATCAAGTCTCTCATCGATTTATTATTTATAATAATTAACAATATTTATTCATGTTTTAATATTCTAATTACAGTTTTTAGTTAAAATATAATATTTACCTTTCCAGCCCAAGAATTAATACTATTTTAACAATTCACCAGAACTAATTAACTATTTAAAAATGTATTACAGTTTTAATAAGTTTTTATATAATTATAATTCCAAAAATATAATGAAAGCAGCCAGCTAATTATAATTGTAATCACATATTAATAGCTCTCTCTCCCATTCAGGACAATATTGGGAGAGCGAGCTATTAATATGTGATTACAATTACAATTAGTAAATTAACTGGGTTTACTTTAAACTATATAAAATACGTTGTATAAAATTAATAATAATTTAATATTTAATAATAATTAAAGTCAAACACCAAAACATAAGCATTAGCCGTTGTTTAAGATTAAATTAAACAGAGTTCCCGACAAACATAAGACAAAGTAAAATACCAATGTATTAAAAATTTACCAGTTTAATAAAAATTAAAAACAAAATTATATAATGTAAGAGCATTAGCAAATACAGTCTAGGTAGGGCTTGGCCACCGGCACCGGGACGGCCACCTGGCGCACAGAGTGGGTGTGTGTTGGCCACGTGAAGAGGTGCAGAGGCGTATCCCTTGATACCACCGCCGAGGGTGCCGTAACGACTCAGGTAGCCACGGCTGTAAGCATGAAGTAAAACTGAAATTATAATCAGGGTAGGTATTTGATGGATTGTGTAAATCAATAATTATGTTTACTATTACAAGTAATATTAATTTATATAAAAGTTTATTGTAACATGATAGCTTATTTGGTTTAAGATTAATATTTTATTTCTAACCATAGGGTTAATTGTGACATGCTTAAATATATGTTTTAATTTAATATGATATAAATTAAAATTAAAATTTTATGATTTAGACAATTTTATTAATTTACTTAATTAAAATTGATAACAGTAATCATTTAGAATGCAAGCATGCTAATTGCAGTTTTAAAATATATTTTAATTAAAATTTTAAAATCAGAGTTGGCCAATAGAAATCTCAATAGATATTACTGTAATTATTATAGTGTAACTTTTATACATTTGAAAAGTTTAATTACAGTTTTCTAAAAATATATAAATAGATCATAAATATTTAAAATTTTGGTAAACCACAGAAACAACTGAAAAATATTTTCAATTACAGTGTTTCCACTTAAATATAACCATAGACATAAGCATAAATTGTATCAATGTTAAAATGCCTATTATAGCTCTCCAATTATGTTAAAATAAAAATACATATTTAACACCACTAATAAATGCAATATACTAGTTTATTAGTTTATTATAATTTTAATTTATATAAATGAATTCTAAAATTGTCAAAGGATTAATGAACTATAAAATTTACATATCAAATATTATTTTAATATTGCATATAGAACATTACAATTAATATACAATTGTGTTAATTTTATTTAAATTACCAATATATGTATTATTGGTCAGACTGATGAACTAGTAAAACTATATAATAATTAATTATTCAAGTACATTTCGGTAAAATTATTTTATTTGTTCATAAAAATCGTAAAGTTTTTTGAGTACAGTTTTTGGCATTGGGGGTGTTTTATAAAAAAAAGTGATATTAAGTTACATGATACTTTCAAAAAAGGGTTTCCAATGAGCATTAGAAAATACAGTCATTTTATTTTCGCACAGATTTTATATAAATTTGAAAAAATAATTAAAATAATAATTAACAGGGAAAAACAAAAAACAATTTAATTTTAATAATAAATTTTGTCTCAAAAATATAGTCATCATCGAAATGGTTGTGCTTTTCTATCAACAAAACTAACTACTATTCCCTTCTATGGGCGTCCGACGGATGACGGAGTTTACGCCTTTCCGGCCTTACGTCCGCCGTATCCGATGTCCTCCTGCTGTACGATATGCTCCTGTTGTACGTGTTGTACAGTCTTCACGCCGATCGGCACCTGCTCCACGACTTTCCTGACCACCGGCACCGCCACCGGTCTGTCCACATAGACATTCCTCACGACCTCTCGCTCGACGGGCACCTCCTTAATCACCTCATAGGGCTGGGGCACCTGGACCTCGACGATTCGCTCGACGGGCACCGGGATCTCGACCTTGCGGACCACCTCGTAGGGCACCTTAACCTCTTTGATCACTTCGTAGGGCTGGGGAACTCTGCGCTCGACAATACGCTCGACGGGCACCGGGATCTTGACCTCTCGGATCACTTCGACGGGCACTTTGACAATCTTCACCACTTCGTAGGGCTGGGGCACCGGGACCTTCACGATTCGCTCGACCACCTGCTCGACGGGCACCTCCTTCACGACCACTCGCTCGACGGGGTAGGGCTGCGGGACGGGTACCTTGACTTCGTAGGGCTGGGGCACCGGCACTCTGACTTCGTAGGGCACCTTCACGATTCTCTCCACGATTTTCTCGACCGGGTAGGGCTGGGCGACCGGCACCTTCACCTCGTAGTTCTGGACCACGACCTTCTCGACGGGGTAGGGCTGGTCGACGGGCACCTTCACGGCGTATGGCTGAGGGACGGGTACCTTCACCTGTCGGACGACATCGCGCACCACATTCTTGACGACGTGGACGGGATAGGGCTCCGGGACGTCGCGCACTTGGGTCTGGTAGACGGGGTAGGGCTGAGCCACGTGTTTCACGACTGGGACGGCGTATGGCTGATCCACAGGCACTTTGACGGGGTAGGGCTCGGCCACGTGCCTGACAACGGGCACCGGCACCGGGTGTCCAACAGTCTTATACACTGGGACGGGGTAGGGCTTGGCTACCGGCACCGGGACGGCCACCTGGCGCACGGAGTGGGTGTGGGTGTTGGCCACGTGTAGGGGCGCAGCGGCGTATCCCTTGATACCACCGCCGTAACCGCCGAGGGTGCCGTAACCACCCAGGTAGCCACGGCTGTAAGCGTGGCTATCGAGGGCCGAGTAGCCATAGCTGGGCTTAGGGGCCGAGTAGGCAACGGTTGCCAAGGCGAAGATGAGCTAGGTGTATTAATAATAATGATTAGTTAAGTGATGATAATAAAATTTAAACTGGATGATTTTTATAATGTATTTAATTGTATCTCATGTAATTGATATAATTATATTTTTTGGAATTAAATCTTAGAGAGTATAATTATTTTAAAATTTTATTTATTGCTAAATAATTTATTTAAAAGGACTACAGCATTAATTTTTATTTTTGAAATATTTATTTTAATCAAACTGTTACTTTACTTAAATTTTATGAACTTTATATTATTTTCATATGATTAATTATATTTTGGATTAAATTTCAATGGATGTAATTTATTTAAATTGATTTATATCAAAATGTTTACTTTAAAATGTGCTTTAATCAAATAATATAGTTTTTAAAAATAAACTCATAAACTGTAATGAATATCAAATGTACATTGCTTTATAATCAATATTATAATCGTAATTTATTATTGGTGAAAAAACCAGTCTGTAATTTTAGTTTAATAAAAATATTACTAGAAAACTAAATCACACTATTAACTAATTTATAAGCTTTTAAACTATTTAAAAATATTAGTATTTAATAAACTGTATCTCTAATATTATATTTTATATTGATTTAATAGCTATATTATGAAAATATAACTGGAATACCAAAGTCTAATGATTTAATATAAATATTTAAATTTGTTAATTATTTATATTAAAATTTTAAAACTATTTATCATATAAAATAAAGCACGACTTTTCCAACTAATTATCTCATTAGAAATATTTTTGCTAAAATACTTTTAAATCACTTATTGTCTGCCATAACATAGTGGCTGTCAATCCAATTAAACTTACGGGCAGTTTTGGGTTAAAACAGTAATTAATTTACGAAAATATTAAATAAAATAATATTAAACAAGGAGATTATGTGCGAAAAACAAAAACTGTATTTATTTCACGTCATTAGATAATAGATACTGTACTTTTTTGTATAATGGTTGTTTTTTAATAATAATAATAATAAAATACTATTGAATTGTGTATATAATTAAAAAATCATAACATATTTGGTAATGTATAACATGGGGAGTGGAGTTCATTTATAATGTAAACTGTAATTAAATATTAAACATATTTTTCAAAAAAAACTTTTTTACTGTTTTTAAAAACTTTTATAAAATATTATTTTACTTTCATTTTTTTGTTTCAAAAATTTTTGGATAGAAATTGATGTCAAAAAGCATAGAAAATAATAATAAAAATAATAATCACTAAAACACATGATTTTTACAGTTCATGAATGGTGTGAGCGATCAGTAGGGGAAAGGGATAGTGAAATGGGAAAGGGATGAGGGCAGGGATATTGAGGATATGGTGAGAGTGGGGGAACAGTAGCATTTCAAAGTAAAAGGAAATTTTTGTTTTTAAATGTCAATAATAATTATATGTATGGCTAGTGTCTCAACACTTTTGTGGGCCAACACACTGTCTATAAAATGTCATAAAAACAGTTCAATAAAAGGAAAAACTTTTTTGATTTTACAACAAAAACACACTTCAAGACAACCGTTTTGTATATCATTTTCGTGTATCAATCAATTATTGTATAATCAAATCGTGTGTATAATGTATACAGTAGGGGGTAGGCATATAAAGTTCAGGGCATATTTTATACAACGGAAAATGTAGTATAGTTTGTATATTCATAACAGACTTTTATGTAACGTTATGTGTTTTACAACAAAAAATAATTACTCATAACAATAACATTGTCCATAGGAATAACATAGGAATAATATAATGTATATGACATTTTTAAAAATAAAAATTTATATGTTATTAATGATTATCCAAAATATTAATAATTATTAAAAACATATTAAATTAGTCGATAAAAGTCTTCAAGTGGTTGATCATCACACACATCCCATTCCCCTACTCCACCATCCATTTCCATCCAAACATATCCATCCATTATAATATTATTACAATTATTATTATTATTACTTTAATATTTAAAAGCTACCGGCGCTTAGGCACTGGAGGCAGCCTTGGCTCCCTTTTTCCACTCGTTGATCCTGGCGCCATAAGCCAGGTCACCGCCCTTGATGGCACCTTGCTCAATATACTGCTCGGGTCCCTGCTCAACAAACTGTTGCTGCTCCTGGTAGATGGGACCTTGCTCAATCACCTGCTCGTGCACCTGTTGCACCGGCACCTGCTCCACAATCTTCTTAACTACCGGCACCTCATATGGTCTGTCCACTACGATCTTGTTCACGCGCTCCCTGACCACATCCACGTGCTTGATCACCTCCACGGGGGTGGGCACCGGGACGTTGACCTTCTTGATCACCTCGTAGGGCACCCTAACCTCGACGATACGCTCGACGGGCACCTGGATGTGCTTGATCACCTCGACGGGCGTGGGAACGCCTACGTCGACGTTCTTGATCACCTCATACGGGACTTTGATTTCGACGATACGCTCGACAGGGACTTCCACTCTCTTGATCACCTCGTAAGGCGTGGGCACCGGGACCTCGACCTTGCGTACGACCTCTCGGGTGTAGGGCACCTGTTTGACCACCTCTTTGATCACTTCGTATGGCTGCGGCACCGGCACCTTGACTTCGTATGGCTGGGGAACGGGGTATTTCACCTCCACGGGCACCTGCACCTTGCGGACGACCTCCTTGATCACTTCGTATGGCTGAGGGACGGGCACGTTGACGTGCACGGGCTGTCGGACGGTCTTGATGACGGTGTACGGACGGGGAACGCCTACTTTGACTTCGTACGGCTGGGGCACCGGCACCTCGACTTTCTGGACGATCTCGCGGATCGACTCCTTGACGATCGGCACGTGATAGGGTTGGGGCACTTTGCGTATGACATCCTTGACCACAGTGTATGGCTGGGGCACGTGTCTGATCACCGGCACCGCGACGGGACGGGCGACCGGGACTTTCACGGCGTACGGCTGAGGGATGCGCTTAACGACGTCGACGGCGTAGGGCTGGGCGACCGACTTGACTACCGGTACGGCGTATGGCTGGGGAACGGCGTACGGTTGCAATACTTTCTGGACGGACTCGGTGTGGGTGTGTCGGGACAGGGGGAGCACTCCCTTGACGCCCCCGTAGCCGCCGCCGTAGCCGTAGCCCCCGCCGTAGCCCCCGTAGCCCCAGTTGGGCTTGGGTGCGGCCGAGCACAGGGCTGCCATGGATAGGATCAGCTGCAATACAAGAGTTTGCCCTTGTTCATTTTTTGGTAGGTCATTTATTTGCACTGGTATGCTAGATTTTTGCTATACTTTTTTGTAATGCTTATATTTAGCTAGTTAAATAATTTTTTTGATTTATATATATTTTTATTTATTTATGCTATATAAATGTTATATAATTAGTTATTTTTTTGCATCTAGTTAATTTATAATACGACTAGTAAATTATATAATGTAAATATAAGCAAGATCATTTTTCATATTATAAAACTTCCTATATAACTCTATTATTCATTAATATATTCTATGAATAATTGGGTAAAAAATATTATATTTGATTAGAGCTCTCAATACGTTTACGATTACATTATATACAGTAATGAGAAATAACTAACTGTCCCCTCATGTAGCGATTGAATTATGCCATAGACTTATATTGAGAGCACCGGAGGGTATAAACGATTTTCAAAATATATTAGCAGTACATATAATAAAACAGTTATCTATCATGACTTTTCACTGGCACTGGTATGATAGGGATATACAGCATTAACTAATACTAATTGAGAAATAACTGGGTTTTTGTCTCAATACATATCGATATAGAGAGAGTGTTGTGTATAATGGTGTTGAGGGACAGTTGGGTTATGTATATTATTATGAGAAAAAGTTGACTTTCCAGTCAAAAATATGTTGTATGTATGAAATGGTTTAATGAAATTCAAAAACTCATTTTTTTCGTAATAATATAATATGTAAAACAATTTGTGTGTTTTAAATGTGTGTTTATAAAAATGATTTCATTTTTCATTATACAGTAGACTCTCTCTATAGTATAGATTAGTCTCTGGATAGTGTACATAAATAATTGAAAGTAATTAGCTAGCTAATTCAGCTGCCTGACCTAGTAGTATAGTATTTTAATGTACTAGTTGCCACAAATTTTATACAAATCCTAAAGTACACTATAGTAGAGGGTTTACTGTATATAACAATAAGTTTATATAAATAAAAATTAAATGATTTTTTTTCATATCAAATAAAAGTCTCCCTTTTCTTATGAATTATTTTTATGACATTTTTTATCCGCAAAATAAATACAGTTTTTCCGTATTTTTCTCCTTGATACAAATTCATTGATACTGTATCAGGATCAAAACTCTTTTTTTTCATTTCGAAAGCAAAAAATATTTGAATAATTAATGAATAATTTAGTTATACATAAAGTTTTATATATATATATAGTATAGAAAAAATTTATTCAAAAAATAATAGTAAAAAGTATCTCGGTAATTCACTTACAGCGATCTTGAAGTTCATATTGAGGTACGAATATAATGTGTGAAACAAAAAACACAAAAATAATAAATATATTTATATATGGAGTGTCAGTCGAAACAGTCCTTTCCTGGATAGGTATGTATCGATTCACTCACTACTATAGCCACAGAGAAACTACCGTTCCCTTTGAGTAACACTTAAATAATGAACAGTTTAACTCTCATTGCCATCGGATTTATATATGGGATGACCAGAAAGAAAAAGCATAAAAATTTGTGTAAAACGATTTTTTTTCATTATAAGGAATTATTGTGCATAGGTCGCTTAATTTGCTGGAAAATGTAAAATAGGAGGTGGCTGTGTGCTTATGTGTGTGTGTGCTGTATATTTATGTAGATCTCTCTCTCTCTCTCTCTCTCTCTCTCTCTCTCTCTCTCTCAGCTTTTCTAAGATATAATGCATTTTCAATGGGAAAACTGGATGTGAGAGTACCGTTAGAGTGTGTAATGAGAGTGAATAGGGGAGGGATGTGTGTGTGTGTATCACACGATAAGAGGATTTACATAGAGTTTACAACTAAATAAATACACTTATAATTCATTGGAATTAATCGATTCTGGAATAAGCCATGTTATGTAACAGATAAACATGAAATTATACGAATT